ATCAAAATGTTAACTTGTTTCTTTTCTGTGAGATGAGATTCTGAATGCTTTCTATTTTCTTCTTTTTATTTTCCTGTATTTTAAAAAATGTCTATAGAATACTTAAATTGTGCTTATAATAAAAATAAACATTACTTAACAGAAGAATGCAGAATAGAAGTATATCGTAGATGGCATTCTCACTGAATTCCAGATACAATTCTTGCTGGGATATGTCATATAATTGGCAAGGGGAAATCAAAGGATATATATAGTTTTTAGGTTTCTGCATAGTAAATAATTTGGCTGGCCTTTGTTCCAAGTTCCTGGGAGGTAACCTCCAAATCCTTGGCATTTCCTGAGTGATTGGAAAATCTTTGTTGTTTGTGGTGGGCCTTTCTATAGTTCATGTGAACAAGATGGCTAAAGACGGGGACTGGACATTCGAAAGACCAGTCATGTGGTTAGTGGTTTGAGGCTTTAAGCTATGAGGTATTAGCTGGAGATAGTGTTCAATCACATGACCAATCATGCCTAAGTAGTGAAGCCTCAATAAAATCTCTGAAAATGTAGTCAGCGCTTCCCTGACTGACAATATTTTGTGCCCAGCGATGGATGTGCCAGGAGGGTGACATCCCTAGGGATTTGGGATCATGTAAGCTTCATATTTGGGTCCTTTCCAGAACTCTTCCTCATATGGTTGTTGTGATGAAAAAAATGAGATAACACAATATAAAGTGTTTACTCAGTACCTGCTTCATGGTAAGCAATATATTTTTATTAATTAAGAATAGAACTTATTGAGGTAGAGAAAAATAAGATAAATTGTTTTCTTCCAACTTTGAGATTACGCCCGGGCTCTTGGGAAGACTGGTGTATGCCGTGGAAGACGATGGCATTCTCCCTGTGCACTTGCTGTTCCTGTTCTAGGCAATGGTCAACCCGCTAATCCTGATACAGTCCCTGTGTATAAATCTGCTGCCCTTAGGTTGGCTCTAACCCATGGCAACCCCATGCATTACAAAGTAGAAGTACACCGTAGGGCTCTCTTGGCTGTAAAGATCTCCAAGTCTTCTTTCCAAAATGCTGCTGAGTGCATTTGAACAAACATCATTTCAGTTAGTAGTTGATTGCAAACGGTACCATCCAGGAACCCCACCTTGTGTGTAAAAAACAAACCAATCCCAATCCATTGTTGTCCAGTTGATTCGGATGCATAGTAACCCTAGGAGACAGATTGAGGGCCCCACAGGGTTTCCAAGGCTGTAACCTTTTTGGAAGCAGACTGCTACATCTTCCTTATGTGGACTGACTGGTGGGTTCAAACTGTTGAACTTTCGGTTAACAGCTGAATGCTTAACCACTGTGCCAAAGGGCTCCTTTGCCTTGAATACTTATTGTTTTTGCTAAGTTCCATCAAGTGTGTTCCAACTCATAGTGACCCAGTATAGGGTTTCTGAGAGCAGCTGGTGGGTTTGAACTGCCGACCGACCTTTCAATTAGCAGTCCAGTGCTTATTTTACAGTGCCACACCTTGCATATTGTTGCTATTGTTAAGTGCCATTGATTTGATTCTGACTCATAGCGATCCTGTATACGGTTTTTGAGGACTAGCTGGTGGATTTGAACTGCCGACCTTGAGGTTAGCAGTCCACTGCTTATCCTACAGTGCCACATCAGTACCCCTTGCACATAGTAGATGCTCAATAAACTTTTGCAGGATGAACAAACTGACAATTTGTTTGGGGCTAATGCATCAGTATGTGTATAAATGTCTAGAAAAATGAAAACCACCTCTGAGAATTCAAAACCTGGGTTTCAAGCTTTGTCATGGGAGAATTCCTATGGAACCTCAGATAATGGTAACTGCCCCTGTGCCATCCATCTGTGCATGAGGAAGGTGGAAATCCATCATCTCCGTGATTCCATCTACTAGCTCCCAAGTGGTGCCTTTTCCACTGGAGGCTGGGAGCTGCACAACCAACTTAGCAGCAGCTGTTGCTGATCGTATGCTGCCAACACACCAGCCGCAGTGACCTGGTGTGCCTGCATTGCTGGCTTTCTGGATTATTTACACAACCCCACCCTTTGGCATAAGCTAATGTCCCCATCTGGGCTTTCTGGTGGGTTTGCTCTTGTACCTGGGGATGCTATTACTTGGATTTCCTTAAGAGCTTCTCTTTGATGCACCAAATGATTGTGTTGATGTTCAGAACAATAACCAAGCACTAAGAGTTGGTTTTCAGGGCGAGAGTTTTCTGCTTTAAGTAAGTGTTAGCTCAGGTAGCATCTCGCGCTGGATACATATATAGGTGCGCACATTCTCAAGCTTAGGATACCATAGTTTGATGGCCTTGAAACTTTGAGATTGTGGGTGAGCAATAGAGAACTATGGATCCATGCTTGTTGATTACAGAGGCAGATAATCTGGCCTACTATCTCAGAAATCTTTGGAGAAGTCTGACACTATCTGGTGCCTGTCATGGGAATTCTGTAATAGTGTGTCAAAAGGAAAGGCTTTTCAAAGACACAGGGCATAGGAATTGGGGTGGGGAGGAAAGGCATTGTGGGAGGACTGGTGTGAGGTTAACCTCCTAACAAGGAGGCAAGGTTTCTTGCAAGGCATTCAAGGACCGCTCGCAGCAACTGACTTTCAATTCAGTTCATCAGGTATTAGTTGGAGGCCTATCTTGTGCTCAGACCACTGCAGCTGGGGATAAACCAGTGAAAGCTTAATTGAATAGAAACTGTGACTAATATTTATTGTGCGTTTATTCAGCCAAGTGCTTGATGTCTGTTATCTTATGTAATCCTTACAACAACCTCACAACTATTATTATCTTATTTTATAGAAGAAGGAATGGAAGTACAGAGAGGTTAAGTGACTTCCGAGGATCACACAGCATAACTGGTATAGGAGCCCAAGCTCCCTGGTTCCAGAACCTGAATGTTTAAATACCTGAATGTTTATATACCCTGAACAAAAAGCTGAAATATGGGAAAAGATTTAAGTTCAAAGACATCATAACAGAATTACTTATTTACAAACAAACCAGAAATGCCCTAAGTATTTAGTAACAGGGGAAGAACAAGGAGAATTTTGGTAATGGCTGTTTAGCCCTTTACTATGTCCCAGACACACTAATCCTTCTGCATAATGACCTCATTTGTTTTTACAACAACTTTATAAAGTTCTTACTTTAACCTCCCTACCACATCATTTTACAAATGAAGAAGCTGCAGCTCAGGAAAGTTAAGTAACTTATCTTATGTCATGCACCTAATGCTGCAATTAGAAGTCAGTCTGCTGATTCTGAGTTCATAGTCCCAACCATGTGATATACTCTTATGAAGCCTTTAAAAGATATTTTTGGAAAGATTTCAATACTTATGAAAGAAGTGTGTGTGTGTGTGTGTGAGAAACCCCAGCCAGAATATACAATATCTAGTATGAGAGCAACTCTATAAAACAGTATGCATAGAAGTAGGAGAATTCACAAAAATATTGACTGTACTTTTCTCTAGAGTAGAGATGGAGATCATTTTAATTCTTTTCTTTAAGTTTTTCTGCAAGTTCCAGATTTTCTACAATAAGCATTGTATCCAAAATAAAATCTGATTGGGGGAAAAAAAATCCAGATGCTTTTAAGAGTATTTAAAAAAGAAAGCAAGAGACATTGAAGCTGTGGTCCTGGCTTTGGAAAAGCTGGGAGCCTGGGAAGCAGCACCTTCTGCCTTGTTCCATGGGCATTAGTGTCTATGTCTAATCTTTTGGAAGGCAGTTTGGGGCAGAGTTATGCTGGTATCCCCACAACAGAACAGCACATACTTGCTGTTGTTAAGTGCCTTCGAGTCGGTTTCGATCCATAGCGAATCTATAGGGTTTCCAAGGAGCAGCTGATGGTTTTTGAACTGTCGACCTTGTTGTTCAAACTGACCTTGTAGTTCAACTCAACCTTTCAGTCCAGTGAATTATCCTACCGTGCCAAACCAGAACTCCACAGCCATATTAGCTGTCTAAAGAGTACTTGACCAGCTCTTTGTGTGAAGAACAATGTGGAACATATATTGTATTAAGCCCCCTAATTGTCAGTTGTTGTTATTAAATGCCGCCAAATTGATTCTGACCCACAACAACCTTGCATAGGGTTTCCAAGGAGCAGCTGGTGAGCTTGAACCACTGACCTTGCAGTTCAAACAACTTTGCAGTCTAATGCATTAACCCACAGCACCACACTAGGACTCTAGTAGGAATTTATAAAATAGCTTGTATTTGTGGAGACCCTACTATGCATCCTGCAACACAGTCAGTGTTTTATACCGTGTATATACCAGTGATTCCTGATGTGGTGCTACAGGGTAAGCACCGGACTGTTAACCACTAGGTTAGTGGTTCAAACCAGCTGCTCCTCAGAAATCCTATATGGTTGGTTATGTGCCGTGCCGTTGGTTCCGACTCATAACAACTCATAGGGTTTCCGAGGCTGTAAAATCTTTATGGGAGCAGAAAGCCTCATCTTCCTTCTGTGGAACCACTCATAGTTTCGAACTGCTGACTGTGAGATGAGCAGCCTGACTCAGAATCCCTACATTACCAGAGTATGAAACATGATGATTCCACAGTTCTGGGGGAAGGTGCTTGTGTGCAACTGGAAGGGCAGCTTTGATGACTGCACAACCTTCTTTAGCCCTCACCTATTATGGGTAAGAATAACCTGTACCTCAGGAGCACCTTCCTGGGGCAGGATTCACACAGAAAGTCTGAACCCCCCAAAAGGTACAAACCATGAGGACTTTGAGAGAGAAACTTCTGAAGGAGCCTGCCCTGTGACAACTGAAGAACATTCCTGAAAAACTGCATGTTTGCCCAGAGAAT